CCCTTATGGAATGATTGCTTCTCAGAGTTGTCTTCCAGATATAGCTAGTCTTTAAGTTTCGTGTCTCTAATGACTCTGAGGCTATTTCATTTTTATATACCAGGAAGGACAACTGCTTAGATCAATCACCACACCTTAGCCCTAGTGATACAATCAGCAACACCTTAGCATCAAGTACAACTTAGAAAATGACAATTTGTGGTAGTTATTAATCTATCACCTTTAACTGTGTGAATTAAATCAAAATCAAGGACCAACCCAGCATATGTTTATAGTGAATAAACTCTTCAATATAGCAACTTTGCCCTTTGGGATGGGGAGTTAGGAATTGGGGAGGGAGGGATAGGTAGGTAGAATGATAGTGGAAGGTTAGCAGTGAGGCCAGAGAACACAGGTGAGAGAAGGAAAGAGAAGAAAAGAAAAATAAAGAATTCCAAATTAGGGCCAGAGCAAGAATACAAAGGGAGATGAAAAACAACATGGAACAGCAAGGAAGTGAGGGAGAGAGAGAGAGAAAGAAAAGAGTAATGAAAGAAAAAAGAGAAAAATAAAAATTTTAAAAGAGTAGTAAAAGAAGAAAAAAATTAAAAATAAGAGCAAAAATAACAGTTGTAATTTTTAAAATAAGAAACAAAAGATAAAAATGAAGGGTCTCCTTCAGGGTATGTCTCTGCTTTCACAGTAGACAACGTGGGCACCAGTGTGCAGCTATAAGTCAGTGAGTCTCAGTAAGCCAGTCACAGACCCGTGAGATTCAGGCAGATTTCTGGCTGCAAGTCCCAAGTTGAGGTCCCTGTCCTCCTGCAGGGTTGAACTCTACAAAGTTCTATTTCAGGTTCCAGCTGCCTTTCTCCTGAAGATAGTCCAGGTTCCGATGGGAGGTGATGATCCTTCCAACTTACCAAGTACGGTGGTCTGGTATGCCTTTATTGCAGAAATTCTCTTCACTTTTCCAGTGGGCTTCAGTTTTCATCAAGGAGCCTGAGAGAGGGCCTCTATCTGTAGTTCACTTCTGCAGCTCAGTACAATGGGCTTTATGTCCCTCTGTGCCTCTGTAGTGTGGAACCAGGTAGCTACACATCCAAGAGGCCAGAGGCTTGAAGGGGATGGTGTACCCTGGTGGCTGGTGGGCATGCTGAGGGGTTCCTCACAATCTCCTCATGGCAGGTGGGTGTGGCAAGCCGCACAGAGCAGGGCTCCAGTTAGCCTGGGACTGCTTTGCCCATGCTGTTACGCTCATGCCTGGTTAGTCCTTAGTTTTTAATTTTAAAAGATAGTGTTTATTAAAATAAAAAAAAATTCTTTGATTTAGTAGCAATGAATAGTGACTACCATATTGTCTTTATAATTATTTACAGTCTAAAATTATGTTAATCTTTCATTCTTTTAGAGCATATATGCCTTACCCTCTTTTAAATTCCAGAAGATAGTAGTACAACTGCTGAGATGACTACTGCTATGGAATTTTCAGGTCTCTTCTTCAGAGAGTCACACTGTGTTTCACTAACATTAACCCCTGCTTCCTCATCAGTACTCTGGGAGCTCAGTGGGGGCACCATGGTGTCAAGCACGAGCTTCATACAGAGAAGCTGAGACTTCAGAGTTCACTGCCCTCACCCATGTGTCGTGTGATGAGTCAACAATGAAAGGAGAGCAGAAATCTTCAAATGCCCTTATTCTTTCTCCTGCTCATATGTCACTCTTTTTCCACCAAATGATTGATAACTAAGGCACTCTTATAAGAATGGAACTACACCAAGAAATTGTTTGTGATTTACCTTTGAAGAAGAAATGCCATGTAATTTAGTAATCAATTGACTTGAGAAGTAAACAGTCAAGTGATGTGGAAATAGATTGACAGTTACATTTATAATTCGTGCCATTCTGTTTGTTATGATTCTCAAGTGTCAGAAATCTAATAACTACCAGCTCAGGGAGTGAAGTTTAAGGACATTCACTGATTATTGCTTTAAGTGGATCATTCTTCTACAAAGGAATTAGATGTCAGCTATTTCCAAAGTGGACAAGAAGACATTGTGAAGTAAAATACTAGATACCCACCAGGTACTACTCACAAAATTGTTCCTGTCTACATGGCAATGATCAGAGATACATAATTTATTTAAAAATTGATCTTTCATATAAGGTTTAACAATACAGATGAGCAGTAGGAAAAAAATTAGATGCCCCCAATTTTTGTTTGTTTTAGCATTAAACTAAACTAGCATCTTAAATTTTAACTTATTTGTAGAAGTAGTTGTTTTAGTTTTCATTTTCCTCTAAATTTCACTTTTCATGTATTAGATAGGGCATGACTCACCAAATATTTAAGAATTGAAATATGATAATGACCTAGATCTCAAAACAGAAAAAAAGCCCATTTAAGCCTAGATAGATAGTTAAAATATTTCCATCTGGGTGACTTTTCATTGATACTTCCCATTGTTCTTAAGACTATTCATATGAATTTTTAAACTTCTTTCAATAAAATAACAATCTAATTTTAAAGACAGCTAAAAAACAACCACCAAAACCCAAGTGAGCCAAAACCAACCAACCAACCAAACAAACAAATAAACAAAAAAACCCAAATCCCCAACTCCACAATAATTTGGGAAGTAGAAATGTTTTCAGGTACCTGGTTGAATGATACTAGCTAAGTTTTTAAACTCCTAACTGACATGACATAGGTTTTATTACTTATTTTGAGAATATGAAAAGAAAATCTATCTGCTATAAAATGGAATTAAATGAAATTTAATTGAATTATATATAACATGATGATTGCAGTTATAAGATTGTCTTGTATTTTAAACAATTGTTATGAGAATAAATTTAAAGTCTTTTCTCCACAACAAAATGATACATATATGAAGGAGGTAATACACATACTAACTAGCACAATTTACCTATTATGAAATATATGCATATTTTTAAAATGCTGTATGCAATAAATATGCACACACACATATATTTACTTTGTATTTGTCAGTTAAATAAAACTGTTCAATTACTTTTTTATGAAATGGATTTAAAGTCGTGTGGCAGTTGGTCTAGTTTCTAGATTGGTAGTTATAACCTGACTTAATTCATAGCTTTCTTTGAAAATACTTTAGAAGTACAGACTCTCTGCTAAAAGCATCATGGACTTCTCACATCCTTTGAAGGTCATCTATGTGCTCTCATCCAGAGATTCCTAGACCTCAACTTATAAATAACATTTTTTTAAAGACTTCATCCTCATGGGTACATTATGAGAGAAAGAGAAGATTCATGGCTTTCCTGCCTACTTTACCTTGGATCTTCTGCTATTTGCTTTTTATTATGGAGTTTATTTAAGAATTGTTGAGGTTCTGTTAGCCATCACCTCAAAGCCAAATAAGAAGTGTCTCTGCTGTTTCTTCAGGAGCCCAGGTACCAAAGAAGATCTCACAATATAACTAAAAGTGTTTTTATAACAGTGATACACTTCATTTTAAAATTTCTGAGTGAATTTTTGCTGTTTACCTATTTTCCTTGGAACAAAACACATAAATTGAGTAATATTATTTGCACATATTTGCTATCAATTGAGGCTAAAAGAAATTATAATTTCAGATTGAATACAAAGCTAAAAGCTCATAGTCTAATTCATTTGGAAAATGCTAAAGCCCCTGGTGAATTCATATTGGTATCATACTAAGAAGTATCTCAGAACACAATTTTCCACTAAATACAAGTAATGACCTTAAAAATTCTCACAGAGTTTTTGTTTCTTTTTTAATTTTATTCTCTCAGGTAATTTAAATATTCACCTTGGAATGAATATAAAATTAATTGCTGATAAAGCACAGTGTTTTCAGTTTAATTCCAACCAATGCCCATAATAATTATTTTAATGAATTAGACTGGGTGAAGTAACATTACAAATTCTGGAAGAACATTTTATATGACAGTATTGAAACACCCACATATACAAACGAAATTACTGTTCATATAAGTGGTGTTCATATGTGTTAATATAAATGAAAAATCTACACATAAAATTTTATTTTAAAAATATATTTTAAAAATAGAATAGTCATTTAAATAAAATGTCCTTGTGAAATTAAATGGGCAGTCTAAATTATATTATTTTTTTCATTAAAGTATTGTTAATTAAAACTGGAGTAGAAATGACCAATTTCATATTCCAGAAATCCCTCCACCAAACCCATATACCAAAATAAAGTGGGTGAGGGAGGCATTTTCCCTTAAAGAAATAGAATGATCATGGAGTTAGGAAACAAGGAACTACTGCTTCTGATATGCTAGTGTATAAACATGTGTATTCTCCAAAGTTAAAAACTGACTTTATCTCTCTCTTCTTTTTTTCTATTAGTACAGAGGATCAAACTTGGGACCTTGTGTTTGCTAGGCAGGCGGCAGAACAACTGAGCTAAATCCCCAGCGCTTTATCTCTTTCTTTTTAGGGAGAAAGATGGAAAAGGATGAAATCATGTGTAGAGAATTTTGCCTAAAAAGCTATAGGGAAATCCTATTTATAACCTAAGAATTCATAGCCATATCTTTCTATTTTTGCTTAAATTCTTTTATTAGTACATTTTAGTTACACAATACGTGTACATTTATCATTGGATGCTTGTACCTGTACATGATGAATCTTTTTCATTTCTGCCAATTCTCTGGAAATAGGATATAGTGGAACTCCTAAGCAAAAGCTAAAACCTCCTGTGGAATTTATTTGTAAATTCTTTCATATATGCAAACTCATTCTTACCTACAAGGACATCATCCATGATCTAAAGTGGTAGAGGGCTAATTATCAAGCTTAAACTTACAGAGTGACAAAAATTTTCACAACTGTCTCTGACCCCAAGGTGGATATTTAAGATCTCAAAAAAGAAGCAAAAAAAAGTCCCTCTTTGTGAAATTTCTTGTGCCACTTTAAGGTGTTTCACTGCTGTGTCTGAGTCAACATATTTATGATGACATCATATGAGTCTTGGCTTCTGTTTCAGCCTTTGAAATCCATGGAACAGAATGGGCCAGGCCTGGAGTACAGAGTGACCTGGAAGCCACAAGGAGCCCCGGTGGAGTGGGAAGAGGAAACAGTTACAAACCACACCTTGCGGGTTATGACGCCCACTGTTTATGCTCCTTATGATGTCCAAGTTCAAGCCATCAATCAACTTGGCTCTGGACCTGAGCCTCAATCAGTGGTTCTGTATTCTGGAGAAGACTGTAAGTGATGCACCTGAAACCCTTAAGCACTGGGAGACTTTTCCCTGGAGAATATTGCATTCCTATCCACAAACATACTACTACATCTACTGCACCTACTGCATATGAAGCAAATATATTAGCTGTAGGACATAAAAAAAAAACCATGTACACATGCTTCCTCCTGCAAGGTTCACTGCAGGATGGGTGATTAGTACAGAGTGCTACCCGAGTAGTTTGAAAACCTAAAGTTCATTCAGTTTCCCAGTAGTTATTTCTGTTTTGAAAAATCAAATAAGACTTGAAATTATCACTGCACTCAGTTAAGCAGCAAAATTGTCCTGAGGTTTTCAAGATTTTCAGTTAGATTTCAAGGACTTCCTCTCAGCCACCTCCTGTCAGCCTGGGGCCTCACTTGCATGGTTGGACCCTTCTTAACACTAATGTAGACCAGTTCCAGATTTGAATATGGAATTTTGAAATATTGGCAATATGATCATATTATTAAAAACTAATAGCATAATAACTGCTGCAGTTGCATTGCTGGAAAAAGAGAATACACTGCATTTTGTGTAGCCATAAATTACAAGTTTCTTATTCATCTGCTAGTCAAATTCTTTTACTCAAATCTACAGGCACTGAACTCATCACCTGTGAACTATGTTTGAGTCTTGAGTGCTCTGTGTTTGATTTATCCTTCTGTGTACACTTCCTGGTATAATGGGATAATACCCATCTCACAGAGTTGCCCTCAGGTTATGCTGAACACACAGAATATGCTCAATTAATATTAACCATTGTTATGAATATTTGATTTACAAAAATCTCAAGTGATTTTATTTATGTCACTACTGTAGTTTACTTGTTTTCAAAAGCAAGATGCCCACAAAATATTTTACTGGACATTGTTTCAAATTTCCATGCAGTTTTGCCCACATTATAGCTACCTGGAGAACTTAATTTTTCAATGTGCTATGGGCTGTCCTCTTCTCCTAAGGACTCGTTTTGTTTTGAGCAACTTCTCTGTAATGAGAATCTCTTAGTTTCATTTGAAATTGATTTCACAAAAGTACTTTTCCCAGACTAAACATTATAAAAGTTGCCTTAGGGAAAGAATTATCATAATCATGCTGGATGTTATTGAAAGTTATCAATCTTACGTCCTTAACAGATCCTGATACCGCTCCAGTGGTCCATAGTGTGGATGTTATAAACAGTACATTAGTTAAAGTTACCTGGTCAACAATTCCAAAAGACAGAGTACATGGACACCTGAAAGGATATCAGGTTTTTATCATATTTTTTTCTTCTTATTATTGAATTTGTCTCTTCTCTGAGAACATGAACTGCTTTCAGAAGAAGTCAAAAGAGAAACTACTACCATGGTTGCTATGCTAAAAGGCTCATATTTTCATTGCAGATAAATTGGTGGAAAACGAAAAGTCTATTGGATGGAAGAACACATCCCAAAGAAGTAAATATTCTGAGATTTTCAGGACAAAGAAACTATGGGATGGTTCCTTCATTAGATGCTTTTAGTGAATTTCGCTTAACAGTCTTAGCCTATAATTCAAAAGGAGTTGGTCCAGAAAGTGAACCCTATATATTTCAAACACCAGAAGGAGGTGAGAGAATAATAACAAAGGATGATGCCAATAGTGGAGATTATCCAATGGTCATATGAAACATTTTCTTCCTTATTAATAGTTAATATGTACTTTATGTGAGTTAATTTCTCAGTTTCTATAAAAATTTGTAATTAACTGGGACTTTTGTTTTTAGGAATTTACTAATTTGTGAGTATTCATTCATAGTTTTGTGTTTTCTAGTACCCGAACAGCCAACTTTCCTCAAGGTCATCAAAGTTGATAAAGACACTGCCACTTTATCCTGGGAGCAACCTATGAAACTAAATGGAAATTTAACTGGTTATCTATTACAATATCAGATAAGTAAGTACAATATTGAATTAAGGTTATCTATTAGTCTTTAATTTTTGGTTTAATAGTTTGCTTATATATTAATGATGTAAGGATCACTTAGGTGCATAGTTCATAGGCTATCATTCTTGCTTATAGCACACATTTCAGCCCTTCTGTTTTTATAAGTATTATCAGAGTATGGCCATTACCACTTAGTTATATATTGCCTATAGCTGTTTGCTCATTAGAGTAGCAAAGTTGAGGCATTGTAAAGGGTCAACATGGTCTTCAGAGTGTAAATATTTATAGTCCAGGACATACAGAAAGGTTTTCTGATACCTGTTCTACAAGTAAAACTGTGCTGTTGGGTGCCAGAAAATATATTTAGTACTTTAAGAAACATTTCATGGAGTAGAGTTAGTAAGAAATGTAATAGATATTCAAAGCACATATAACTACCAAACTGCATTCTTTGGATTTTGGATCCATGATTATAATCTCAACGTAAATATACTTGTGTAAGTAGAATCCTCTATTATCCCACTAGTTCAAGCATGTATTCTCAAGAGGACTGAAGAGCTGTCTTCAGACAACTACTTGAAATAATCTCTTTGTACATGCTTCCATGCCATTGCACTTAAAGTGTTTCAACAAAAATAGATCACTTTAAAACATAGAACTTTCTACTTCTAATTGTGTTCAAACCTAAGCATCACCTCAAAATAGAAATGAGGTGACAGAGACTAAAACAACTTTAATAATAGCCCAACAAGGTACACTTTAGAATTTGAGAATGTGAATTCATAAATAGCAAAACACTGGGACTACAGAGAATCAGGCTGCTCTGCATACAAAAAACATTTGAATTCATTGTTCTGATACCCTAATGGAACATCACCTGAAAATCACCCAGGATGATCAGGGTTACATACTAGCTTTAGTTTCTGATAGTCTGTGGTGAATTGGCACATATTTCACTAGATTTGGTCATAAGCCAAACGGAAGTAGCAATTGGGTGTTTTTGAGTGCTTGTTATGTAGCCAAATCAAAATCATGTATTCTTCCTACATCATTTCATTAAAATAAAACAGTTATGAAATATGTACTGTCACTATTTTCTGGAAGTAGAAATTGAGGCATATAGAATGTATATACTTATTTAGGCTCTCAGGAAGTAATTGTTAAGTAAATATGCAAGGCAAGTTAGTATCCTTGGACATTCCTTGAACCAGTTTTTAAAAATGCATAAAGAAATGAAATATTTGAGGACTTTTTAATATCAATTTGTTTATTACAGATATGTCTTATCTTTTTCCTAAAAGTAAAATTTCAACATTGTTGCAATTCCAATCTTAATATTCATCTGAATATGACTTAAATGTATTTTAAAAACAAGTTCATAGAACATAGGAGAAAGTAAAATATTAACCATTATGATTATTGTACCTCTTGTTATGTGGATTTTTAAACACAATGATATATACATATTTCTCTATTATCATTAAATTATTGGTGCATTTTTAGGTAGTTTAACTTTTTTGTTATCGCTGTTTCATGTTCTTAATCATTGCTGGTTGTCTAGATGAGACTTGTCTGTATATTTTCCTGGATTCTTATATTGATTGTAGCAGTTTTTAAATTAACATTTTGGTCCCTAACAGCTGCATGATCTTCGATCTATCATTCCATCACTTGGACTGTTCTTATAGTAATCCTATAGTATGTTGTGTTCATATATAAATTCTTTAAAACAAACTACCTAATGTGATTCTTTCACTTAGCACATTGCCTACCACACAGTGAATATTTTAAAATATTTAATTAATTCATCAGTTTGCTGGTTCTGTATATATTAAGTGCAGATGGCTCTGACTTAATGATGGTTTGACATTATGATGTTGAGAAAGCATGCAGAAAATACTGTATTCCAATATTGCATCTTTCTCTATATTAGTGATACATGATACTATACTTTCTCTTGATGCTGGGCAGCAGCATCAAGCAGCAGGTCCAGTCAGCCACATGAGCATGACCATGACCACTGACACTCTACAGTGCACACTTTGTTGCTAAGATATGATATTCAGAAGGTTAGGTACATTAAACGCTTTCTTGATTTACAATATTTTCAACTAATGATGGGTTTATCAGGATGTAATGTTACTATAATTCAAGGAGCATCTGTACTTATTTGGTGCCACATATTAAGCTAGAAACCATAGAAGACTCAAAGTCATTTGTATTGTTCCTCCAGAAGGAGATCAAAAGTACTTCAGTCAAGGACAGAATGAAAATAAAATAATTTGGGAAAGTTCATCATTTTTAATATCAAAATTTTTGTCTCCAGTGTGACATAGCTATTTAAAATGTAGTCCCTAGGGCCCAAAGACCATGGATTGCTCAAATCTCAGATTCTCATTTAATGGCTCTAGATCTGGGTAAAGTGTTTATTCTTAATAGACCTCAGTTTTTCTATGTATAATATGGCCATAGTAATTGCATCCAAGTCAGAGGATACTATGAATAATTAAGATAATTCTTTGCATAACTCAAGCACAAGTGGAGCAAAAGATAAAAGGCAATATAAATTAAATTAAGTACTGTGAAACTTGAGGCATCATTGTTCAATGTTCATTTCTTTAGTAAATGATACTGATGAGATTGGAGAGTTAAATGAAATCAATATTACAACTCCATCAAAGTCCAGCTGGCATCTCTCAAATCTCAATGCAACTACCAAGTACAAGTTCTACTTGAGGGCTTGTACTTCAAAAGGCTGTGGGAAACCAGTCACGGAGGAAAGTGCCACGTCAGGAGAAGGGAGTAAGTACTTAAAGCATGTTTTAAACACCTGTCCTGAAAGAAATTAATCATGTTAGTGACTGTAAATAAGAAATGATTTTGATTCAAATCTATCTGACCTTCTGTTTCCCCCGATGGAAGTTCAAAATTTATTAACCTTGTTTGTAAAGTTCATGTTGACTCAATTTGTGGATTTCTGAACAATAATAATGAAAGCATACTTCAGTATACACAGGGTCAGGAACCATAATTCTACTTAATTGGAGTAGGAGAACAAGAGCATAAAGTTATTCAAAAGGTTAATAGGAAGATACTTTTCTTTGGGAAATGTTTCCATAAAGAAAAGTATTTGTCCATTGTCTTAGTAGACATTTCACAGCACAGATCTCATATATCTCATTCCTGTCTTAATCCGTATGTACATTGATTCATATGTCAGTTTTATTTTACTATCTGCTGGTTATTGCCAAATTACATGCTTGGAAGCAGCCTAGGAATCTATGGTTTCACTTATAAAGTTAAATTGTAATTTATTAAAAATTTACATTAAAATAGATGTGTTTGTAAATCACTGTGAATCAATACATTTGCCCATGAGTTATTATTCTGATATTTATGGTCAGTTTGTTCCCCTATCTCACTGTTCTTACCATATCTACATAACAAAGAGTTTGTGTCCTACCCAGGCTCTTTTAAAACTTAAATTCCCTTCTGGGGGAACAGTATGTATGTTCAGTTAACATTCCAGAAAAACCTGAAGTTATTTTCTAGGACAAATCAGACACCAAATGAAAGGAGGAACTGATTTATCTAGTCATGAAAGTTAGGTTTCAAGAAGGTTATTGAAAACTATCTAGTAACTGAAGTATATTATTTCTCAAGGGCTTAAACTGATTGACATCAAGTACTCAATTTGGAGAAGTCAGAAGAGTAGTCATCTAAGTATACAACTTCCTTGTTTTTTATAAACAAAATTTAAGGCCCAGAGCTGTGTTTATTTTGATAGATCATAATATCCCTGAAATATGCTGGTCCCATTCTTGATAATTGCAGGATATAAGAACAAGATATTCACAAAATTACCTTACAAGTGTTGTATGTTCCAATGTACACGTTGGAAAATTGGGGCCTGAATGCATTAAAGCTAGACAGATTGTGTTTTGGAGGATTGAAGTGCTGTTTGTGTAGTATATAACTGATACTTCATCTTTTATGCAAGCTAACAATGTAACTAATAAGCTTAGGAACCTTAAAATGGATACCTTCATTGTCTTGTCAGTAATTTAAAAATGTTCCTTACTAGTGTGTTTGTGCTCTTTTTCAGGAATCTGCATTTTCAGTAATCCAGCTACTGCCCCCTTTCCCAGTTGACCCTGATTTCTCTTCCATAGACATAACTTCCCATATTTCCAGGGAAATGTTTATAATATCTTTTCCCACTGGATTTCAACATGGTCTTTGAAAAAGTATATTTCCACTGAGATAAAGTTTGATATCATTAAGCACTCTAGAAATGATAACTTTTATGCAATTTAGAATCTACTATTACTGTATATGTTTCTTCTCATTCTGCCTAGATAGCACATTTTAAGATTATTTGGCATTTATTCACAGTGAGGAATTTAACACACAAGTATTTTTTTATGATTGTTTTCGGTTGTTACTTCCATTTTCAGGTGATTCTCATTCAATAGTCCAAGAGGGAGCAAAGGGTAGAGTTAATTAGAAATATTATCTTGTGTAATTGGTAATTTCAATAAATCACTTTGATCCTTTTCTTTTTCAAAAGCTTGCACTGCTTAACATCATACTAATATTTGTTTTTCAAAATCAAAGTTAATTGCATTCCATTTCAATGGTGATCAGTTTTAAAGGCTTTGCTTAACTCTATAACTGAACTTATTTCTTCCCTGGTGCCATTTTAACCAAACTCTTTTGGTATTTAGAAACTATATAATCAATATTTATTTACGATAAAAAATTGTATCCAAGTACTTACATGTAACCATATACCAACTTAAAACAGTTTCATATCTCCCTATATTCGCAGTAAGGAAGTTATTTTATTTCATGTATGAATTATTAAATTTTTCTATTTTCATCTGCTATCTTGAGTTTGTTCCTAATAATCCTATGAATTAAAATAAAAAATAATTTACATATTTGTTGAAAGATCGAAAATTGCTATATACTTAGCACTTATTTTCATCTGTCATATGAAATTCTACAGTGATATTGATATTTTGATAGTCTTTTTGGAAAAGTATCAGTTTCTTACATCACTTTCAAAATGTCAGTGAACTCATTCCATTTACATTTATTCCATTTATATATAGCTATAAACCTGCACTTTATATATTTTGAGTTTCCACAAATTTAAAATACCTATTATATAAACATATTATGATATTATTCCATAGAATTTGTTGAAAAAACCAAGGCAAAATGAATATATATAGATACAAATAATATAATAGGTCTTTAATATACACTTATATTAATATATACATTTGATTAAAATTATACTATTATACATTATAAGCCAAAAAGGCTATATCCAGTTTTCTATTAGTTATGTGAGAGTCCAAATTACAAAAATATTATAATGTTCAATATTTCTTAAGTCTGTGTCTGCTTTTAAGCCATTCACATGACCAGGCAGATTTATAGTAACACTTCATCCACATCTTCTTTTTTTTTTTTTTTTTTGGTACCGGTTATCGAACTCGGGTCCTTACGCTTGCGAGGCAGGCGGCAGAACCACTGCGCTAAATCCCAGGCCCTTCATCCACATCTTAAGTGAACGTGAATTGAAGTCATTTCATTTACTTAGTTTCAGTGTATTAAAAGAGAAAGTCTTAAAATGATAATTTTCTTGATCTCCTGATAATTCAGGAACTATTAAAAATGCAGAAGTGGCTTTTTTGTATCTCAAATAACAGTATCTTTTTTTAACCTTTCATGACCTGCCTTTCAATAATTACAATTCATATGATTTAACTGTGTACCTTTCTTAGGTAAAGGTATCAGGAAGATATCAGAAGGAGTAAACCTTACTCAAAAGATTCACCCAGTAGAGGTATTTGAGCCGGGAGCGGAACATATAGTTCGCCTAATGACTAAGAATTGGGGTGATAACGATAGCATTTTTCAAGATGTAATTGAGACAAGAGGGAGAGGTGAGAAATGAGCTTATATTTGGGGTAGTCTTAGCTAATACATCTGTGTCCTGTGGATTAATTTTATATACACCCTATATTAAAGATAAAAAACATTTAGCATATTAGCTATAAAAGTCAAAGTTCCAACTTTTTTGGGAAAGAATTTTTTAATTACCAAAATGAAAAATGTTTCATAATGCTACAAGTTATCGCATAGTGATTTTATCAGAATAGTTGCCTAAAAATATGTCCTGCTAATTAACATGTGTTCATAACAAAAACTAAAGCAAAAAGAAAAACCATACAATGGAAACACAAAGGTTCCCTTCACGGTGATCTCTGCATAACTAAGGTAGCTTGTGCTTTCGCTTGCTCCCTGCTGCTTCTGTACTTGATGCCACCTGCCTTCCCTATTCCTTTGGTTCTCATACTCAGAATCCAATGCAACTTAATAAAACAGAAATGATTTACTAGTGTTCCTCTAATAAAATACCCTTCAGATCACTTTTCCTCTAGGATTATTGAGAGGAGAAATAAAATTGATGCTATTTTGTTTGCTTAATAATAATGTCTGATTTTCTTAAAATAATTTAATACCAAGCACTTCCTAGTATTCAATGTTGTGACTTCTCTTTATACAACAGAATATGGTGGTTTATATGATGACATCTCCACTCAAGGCTGGTTTATTGGATTGATGTGTGCAATTGCACTTCTCACACTAATATTGTTAACTGTTTGCTTTGTGAAGAGGAATAAAGGTGGAAAGTATTCAGGTAAAACAGTTTATTACCGTAATTTTCAACTTAAATCAAATATTTTCTAGGAGGGTTCTTCAAAGACTTTTTAAAAATTTCACGCTGAAGTTAAATTTATATTAGCAAATTAGATATATAATATCCTAGATGGAAAATATTATTGCTAAATTAACGTACCAAAAGGAATATGCATGCTCTACAACAGGGATGGTGAACCTTTTGAGACCTAGTGCCCAAACTGCAACCTGAAACCCACTTATCACAAAATACCAACACTGCAATTAAATTGGAATGCTAAAGTTTTAGTTAAGAAGGAATAACTCATACATTAACATCTTTTGTTTTAAAAGAAAAACAGAATGACACACATGCCATAGGTGTGCCACCACTGATCTACAATATTACCTTGAAGAGGTTGCTTGTTTTCTCATTTCTAGTACTTGGTTTATCATACTTCCAAAGAAGATACTGAAGAAGATATTCCAGAGATACTGAAATATACTCCTTAATAGCATATATTTTAACGTGTTTTAAAAAAGGGGAATAGCATCTATACCATACTTCTATACACATAGAAGATTCAGGATTTTTGTACCAATATACTCTAGTAATACTGTCTCCAGTATTCAACCATTGCAAGAATGGATTTTTTCATTATTATGGTGTGTATTGGGTATAATACCCCTTGAATTATGGTATATTAAATATAAGTGAATAAATTAAATATAAATAAATAAAACCACCCTAGTTGTTAATGTTTGCCTTTATTTTAGCTAAATTCAACTTCCAAATTTGTTTTGTCTTTTCCAGATATATGTAGATCTATACATATATATAATTTTCCTTAGTATTCACACTTTTTATGTAGAGAGAAAGATTTATTTAGATGCCACTTCTATTAGTTTGATGACATTCAGATTAATGAGTATATTATTGATTTGTAGTTCATCCAACAGGTAATTTTGGGGAATCTCTCATGTACATAGAGCCAGGAAATGCATGATTCCTAAGCCTTTTTGTAAAGTTACATGGATAATTTATGCAGTTATACATTTTATTGTTCCCATAATGTCTGAATTATTATGTATTATGTTCATGATGACTAATAAATACTCAAGGTAAATCATTAGAAGCTTTAAAAAGACTGAGCATTCCCCTTTGAGGATTCTCAACTGATAACGATGTGTGAAGTATAGACCCATCCATTTCCTAAGGAACTTCCTCAAATTATATCCTTAATGAAAAATAAATTAGCCTTTCATATGATCGGGCAACTAAGAGAATCTCTGAGTAAGTAACAGTGAAAAATGCCATGAGGTTTGGTTTATTTGAGTTTTCTAAGAAAAGAGAAGAAAGAGCTATGACTTTTACATTATTTAGACTAAAATCTAAATTTAAAATATTACTACTGATGTTGATATTCTTATTAGACAACTTTGAGTAATATAGTGATCTAAAATAATCAAAGGACTGATTCTTATCATTTATGTTAGTTTAATGGCATAGATCTAATATGACAACTTATTTAAAAGAATATTGAGTAATTCGGCCATCTTTGAGAAACTTATCAAAGTGGACTCCTTTAACAAGACTTGTTGCCCATACAATAAAAAGTAGTCACATGAGGATCTGCTACATGCTACAAATTTAATGATAAGTTAGAACTCAGAAAACAACTTTTCTTTTTTGTTTAAACAAAGAAGAAACTGATGCAAATTTAGCCACAGGAAAGCTTGTATCATTAATATCAAAAAATGTTGAGTAATGCTGTGCTTTTTGATTAGATATATTTTAACAACACCGGTAAAATATGAAAAGTCCATGTATAACTTTCCCTCTGTTTTTTATAGTGAAAGAAAAAGAAGATTTGCACCCAGATCCAGAAGTTCAATCAGCTAAAGATGAAACTTTTGGTGAATACAGGTAAATGTAACTTTCATATAAAAATGTATCAAAATAGATATCCAACAGGTTTTCTAAATGGACAAAAAAGTGTTTATTCTTAAAATAATAGTTAGGAAACTATATTATAATTCTTTATTAAGAATACTCTGCATAAATAAGATTTACTTTAGTGATAGGAACCAAATTTCTGTGTACAGGGTGAAAATGTTACCCACAATTTGGAGAGGAAGTATGAATTAGGATTCTTAAAGTTTTGTGTGTAATTAAAGCAATTCACTTTTATTTTTACTATTTAGAGTAGATAAAATATCTTGAAGTCATTATGAATTTGTGTTCCTGTTAGTTTACATCCCAGACACACATAGTAAACCTCCTGTGCACACCCACCAAGGCAAAAAGATTACAAACTAGTAACTATGTGAATCTAGTCTGCAGAGGAGAAAATATACATGCAAATAACTGTAATTAATGAATTAGAACAAGAAAACATAAAAGAGAACAACTACTTCTGTCTAAAAGGAATTCTGTAAATTTTGCTCGTTGCTATTGTATTACTTATCAGTTGTTTCATAACAATTATTCCCAATAAGTATAAAACAGTATATATTTCTCTCAGAGTTTATGGGTCAGAAGTCTGGGCATGGCATAATGGTGTGCCTAAGGCTGAGGGTCTCTCAGAGTTTGGTGACAGGCTGCCAACCAGGACTCCAGTCTCATCCAAGGGTTCAGCTGAAAAAGGATGCACTTCCTAGTCCACTCATGTGGATTCAGTGCCATGCATACTGTGGAAGTAAGGAAATCAGTCTTCACAGGCCAGAATCATTCTTAATTCCACAGTGGATGAACCTCTCCATAGGGCAGGTATATGATAGCTGGCTTTCTTCAAAGTAAACAAGAGAGAACACCCTAGTTAGAAGCCATTGTCCTTTTGTAGTCTCATCTTGAAAGTGGTATCTATCACTTTTCTTGTGTCCTATAGGAGCGAATCATCACATGATAAAGGAAGATAAGACTATACAAGGGCTCAAATTACATAAGGCAGGAATCATTTGGGACCTATGATAGCTGTCCAAAATATTTGAAAGACAATATTAGTTTAGGTTTATAGGAAACAAATACCAGAATAAAACTAAATCAGTGCCTTGTCCAAAATCCTCATTTCCCCATACTCTGCTGCTTCTTTAAAAAGATAGGTAACATCATCTCCTACATTATTTCAAAATATATGAGATTTCTTCATAGTAGTTAATATTATTTCCAATTTTATGTTCCAAAACTACACATTCACCAGCAAAATTATATCTAGGTTATCTCAGAAGATGGTTTTTATACATGCTGTGACCTTAAATAACATGTATTTGCATCCCTGCTGCCTATAATATTTTCTTCATTACTTATTGAATGTCTCCTAAGTCAATGCCACATGTTTGTTTTGTTTTGTTTTGGGTTGGGAATCCAACATACTAATTCTGGAGCCAATCATTCTATTGGTTAGGACATCTCAGACTATGCTGATGTTAAAAACAATTCCAAAAGTTCTCAAGTTGTGTGTACAGCACACATTGCTGTGGTCAACTATTCACTTAGGAGCACCTGGTGCTTTATGTGAACTGGGGTCACCACCGGTGTGGAAACCAAACATGGAAAATAAAGCACTATCTCTAAATCTCACTTGGAAGTGACACATGTCCCCTTTTGTTCACTTTTCTGAGGGTGAAGCAAGCCACTTAGTCATGCACAACTTAGAGAAGGAGGAAAGCCCTGTAGTCTCAGGAAGGTGAGGCTAGACATAGTTAATGAGCAGAACTGACGAATGCCACAAAAATAAAACACTCTACCCATTTTAATTTTTTTTCAAATTGTTCTTTTTACAGATTTTATAAAAATCATTTTATTTGATATATAGATTTATAATACTATTTGGTAATTTTTAAGTCCTGATCATAAATTTGCAAGATTGTATCATTTTATAGATCCATTATGAACTCAGATTTGTTTTTCTTGAAGGATAAAATCCATCCCAGAAAGATAGTACACTTACAGCATGTACAAATCTGAGTTTGATAACTTTATTAAAGAAAGTTGTTTGCAAGCAATAGAATTTTATTGATTAGCCTAAACAAAAGAAAATCTTGGAAGCATATGGAAAAAAATCTATCAAAAATATAAACAAAATTAAGACTTGGGGCCTAAGAGCTCCTAAAGTTCATGAAGTAATGGAAATAATATTTATTCTCTGTTTTAGTCTATTCATGCTGCTATTAAAAAATACCATAAGGTATGTAGTTTATAAGTAACAAAAAATTATTTCTTACAGCTCTGGAGGCTGGAAAGTCTAAGGTCAAAGTAATGCCAGATTCGTCTGGTGAGAGTCAGCTTTCTTGTTCACAGATCGCACTTTCTCTTTGTGTTTCCACATGGTGCTAGGGGCCAGGTAGCTCTCTGGGGCCTCATTTATTAGGGTACTAACCCCATTCATGAGATTTTCACTCTTGTAATTAATTACCTCCCAAAACCCTATCTCTTATTGCTATAACATCAGTTCTTAGGAATTCAACGTATTGATATCAGGAACACACCAACATTTACACAGGAGTTCTATGTATGAGGGTTAATAGACGCATACCCCCCAAAATCTCTAGATTTTAAAGAGAAGTAGAATAGTGTGAATAATAGAAAATCATTTATCTATTTCTCAAAATGATGCAAATTGGCTGTGTCTTTTTAAACACTTGTGGATATGTCATTTGGGCTTTATTATCTTCCATGCTGTCATAAATGTCCTGAAAATTATAAAACCTATTAGTATTTAAGAATGCTTTATGTGAATATAAATATAAGATTTTGTTAGATGATTTTTTTTTTGCTTGTTTTCTAGTGATAGTGATGAGAAACCTCTCAAAGGAAGCCTTCGTTCCCTCAATAGAGTTATGCAGCCTACAGAAAGTGCTGATAGCTTAGTCCAGTACGGAGAAGGTGACCACAGGCTTTTCAATGAAGATGGATCATTTATTGGCGCTTACGCTGGATCTAAGGAGAAGGGATCTGTTGAAAGCAACGGAAGTTCTACAGCAACATTTCCACTCCGGGCATAAACTCAAAACATGCACACAACATTGCTGGCTCACCCCAACTTTTCATACTTATCTGTTCAAGGGAGCAAGAACTTTCATATGGGAATCGAAACATGTTGGCAGATTGTATCCAGAATGTGACATCCTGAAATTATGTTGACAGTTGCATTGCCTTCAAAAACTAAAACAGCAACCACATCAGTCTATGTTTTGGTTTTGGTTTTGTTTTCAGGTTCTCCAAATGCAAAACAAATCCTGTATTTAGACATACCTTCTATAAATCCAAAGTACCCATTTGATGGACTACGTATCTGCCTGATGGTACTCACCAATGTGTTTGCATAGATGTTGCTACCCTGTGGGTTTATCTCTCTCTGTATCCACATTTGTATTCAGTCTCTGAACTATCTTAGTGACTGTGCTTCACTACAGGTTAAATGATTGTAAGAAAACTGGTTATTTAAAATGTAAAAAGGAATATGAATGTCTTTTTAAAATAGTGCATTGAATATATACAGTCTAAATTTATTATTTAATTTTTTGTAGCAAAAGTCTTAGGTAAACAATCAACTAGTATTTATTGAGCTCCTAATTGCCCAGAGATAATAATGTTTAAACAGTTATAGCTTTTTAGATTTCAACATGAATTTTTAATTTCCATCAGTTATGACATCTACAAGAATTTTCGTTTTTTTTTCTTTGATTAATGCAAGCTGCAAAAGGAGTAGTGGTCAGAACATTATTTTGTGAAGGACAGGAATAAGGTGTTTGTTATTTAGATTCTAATAGGTTTATCTATTTAATATCTTCTAAATTCACTGCTTTTACTTATTTGTATGTTATATTATTATATGCTTGCATATATTTCATGAATGCATTGTACATATGATGTTAATATTTACACAATTTAAAATATAGATGTGTTTTATTTTGAAGTGTGAGATAAATTCATCAATAGCCGTGACTGTACAGTTACAGCTTGTCATTCCATGGCTTCAACAATAACATAAGATTCCAAAATTGAAGACTGTATAAAGAATTTGGATATATTACTTTTATTCAACAGTCTCAAAATAAGATATCATACAAATATGGAGGGAAATGTTTTCATATTTTTCAAAATAAGTTTTTGTTATTGAGTATACTCCTACCCCAGCCATAATAAAGAAATCTATTTCTAATAGCAATTCCTATGCATCTGTTTGTCTGTATCACATTTTAAATGTATTTATGGTAATTTTTTTTTTCTTTTCTATATTTTCCATTTGTGAAAGTTAGTATAAATTCAGAGAATTTATTTCCTGGCATGTGGGCTACTTATCCATTTAAAATGGCACATGAAAATATTTTAGAAATGGTGTAAAAAACTATGCATACATTTCAGTAAAATTAGTGTTCAACTTCTTATTTTATGGAAACAATTTTTAACCTTATCCTGAAATTATTAACTATGTTTATGAAATTGATTCACAGATATGACTTTATTATTTGAACTACAATTAATGATGTATACTGTTAAAACCTCCATTTTGATTTTTAGGATCCATTATATTTCTTGGGGATGAAAATCAGGGGCATTTATAATGGTCAATGTAGTAATGCACGTAGGATATCTAGTTGTCCTTTTTAACCTTATGTGTCCTCTAAAATGTATAGGAGAGAAAAGTATGTCTTATTTCAAAACACACTTAATGGGCTCAGAGTTTGCCCACATTCCAGGAAGTAAACAGTCAAAGGGGAAGGCACCCTGGTCCTCCACCTGCATGAGTGTAAGGATCTATGCATGCATCAGTGCAATTTGAACTCCATCTCCATTTCTAAGACACAACTTTTCTGGAAGAATCATCATGTGTTCATATTTGGGAGTAATTTGTGGTGCTCAGATACTGAAGAGGTGAAAGTGAGGACTTTCAGGTTTAATTTTGCTGTTATTCTATTTTCTCATCTTTGTCAGCAGCCAAAAATTGATCTCAACAGGGCCATGCAAGCTAGACATTGTGTTTAAAAACTAGATTGTATATTCATTAGAAATTTAATCATCTCTAAGTTAGAAGTTAACACAATTACTGACATGTTTGATCTTTGTGGACTTCCTTATTCTCCTTTAGCTGCCTGAGAAACAAGGGTTTTCTAGTCATAGCCTCAGATGATCAAAACTTATAAGCATGAAAAATGAGACTGGATTATGACTAACTTTTGTTATCACTCTTTGGTCCCTTTCCTCAATACTATTTAACTTCTACTGAGAATCTGCAGCACAACAGGAATAGTCCATGGCTTTCTCTGTTGGTAGTTATGAAATTATATTCTTCATATATTTTATGAATCAAAATGAGTATTAAATGAAAAAATTCCAAGTGGTTTAAAATGGATTTTATTAATTTCCTTCAGAAATGAATAAAAGAATCTATGATGTTCAATGATTAGTATAAATGGGCAATAATTACTTACAAAATGCCACTGAGTGAAGAACAACAGAAAATATTTAGAAAAAAATTTTTTAACTGGCTTTGCAATAACTTTCTGGACTCTACTCCAGATAGTATTTATTGTCATAGATTGTATATAACTTCATGGATTGTGGATAGGGATCAGGTCATGCAAGGTGGTACATGGGTCAGGAAAGTCCAAATTCTCTTCCTGGTTCCAGCACTGAAGTTGTACATAAACCCTAGGGGTTGCTTAACAATTTTGCTTCAAACTCTCTCATCTATAAAGTGCTTATAAATCTTTGTCACAGGGTGTTCTTTTTATAAAGCAAAATTTGCAAATGATAAAAGTTAAGATGCCTTCTAACTTCATAAACAAATCTGTAATTGAATTATATATCTAAAATCACACACACACACCAACTCAACTTTTTTCCTGTGAGCACATAAATATATTTTTATAGAAAAACAAATCTACAGAAAAGAAACTAAATCTACTGTTCACTGGGCAGTATGATTTGCACATGCCATTGAAAATTATTAATCAAAAGAAAATGAAGCAGGGTCTTTGCTACACAAAGGTGTTTTCCACTAATTTTGCATGCTTATTTATAAGAAAATATGAATTTGGTGAATTTATTCTATTGAAAGAAAGGCATCTGATATTTTAGAGGTAATCGTGTTTATAAAAATGTAGAGCACAATGGAATTATGCTGGAAGTCTCGAATAATATTTTTTCCTATTTTATATTCGTGGAAGAGATAAGAAAAAGAGAGGACAATAATGAGAAATGTTGGTGTGTTTTCTAAGCATTTAAAACATAATTGCCAATTGAAATGCTAAATATGTTTACGTGCCATTAGGATACAATTCTTGTTGAAACTTTACATTGGTTTTAATGGGATTGGGTTTGTAATCTGTGGTAGTATATATCCTAGTGTTCTTATAGTGAAATAAGTAGGGTTGAGCCAAAGCATACTTTGTTTTGTATCTTAAATTGTTTTATTGCATCATCAAAAAAGATAAATGTAGAGCAGGTGCACTTGATTACCTTTTTTTACTTCGAGTAATATCCGTAGTAAACTTTATTAAAAGTGTTTGTATTGTAGATGGTGTTTGTATTATGTTTATGAATATGTATGATTGAAAAATCTTTTCATTACACATGAAATTCAGCTTTCCAAATAAAAGTTCAACTTCATGTACCCTAAAAATGTTTGTATTGTTTCTATCCATTTAAGAAAAATTGGAATTTACATATCAACTTGAACGCCAGTTGTTGCTGATTGTGAAATATTATAAATGAAATAAAAATAATGACATATAAATGAATTCTAAAGAAAATATTTTATTTGGATTACTATATTTGTAAATATATATGTGATATACAACACATATAAAATATATTGTTATAAAATATAACAATAAAGTTTAGAGTTATGATAAGTACAAATCTAAGATGAATATATATTCACCTAATTATTTCTCAGAAAAATGTAGAAAGGTTA